TGTTGTTAATCACTTGGGGAGTTGTTGTTTTTTAATGGTAAAGTGGCTAATAAATGTTTTAATCGAGATATTTGAGGATTTCATGTGCGCATCCATTAGAGGTGTAAATTTTCTAGAAATGTTGAAGCCACAGACCCCCTCTTTTTTCTTGAAAAAACAGAAATTTTGGAAAAAATCATAATACATGCGGGACTTTCCTATCAAAACTACACTTCTTTTACTGATTGAACAACATAAAATGTGTCATTTATAACTTAGTTATCATATAAAATTATCCTATTTGGCATATTTGTGATTATACTATTTGGCATATTTGTGGCATTTAAAAGTATAAATCTCTTCAATTTCTATACCCTGTGGTACCATATCACATGGATCTTAATTTTTGCCACCTGAGAGGGTAAGAACAAATAAAAGTTGAAAGTTGAAAACAAATTTTGTAGTTAACAAAGGAAAGTGTATTTTGACAGAAAGTCTCCTAGAGTAACAATAGTACTGCCTTCATGTCTGGACGTTAGCTGTATTAAAACACTGAACTCTTTAATAATGTGGGTATTATTAAACATATTATAGCTTATTAATGGTTGTCCAAATCACTTCATTTAAAATTAAAAAATCTTGAAAATGATGTATATGTCTATAGTATAAGAATTTTCGTCAGTGGTCCTCAACATTTCTCAGTTTTCCCAGGAGAAGTTGAGAAAGTCCTTAAACCTTGAACATGAAAAACCTTGTCTTAAGAAGCGCTGTATTATTATTTATTATTTTATTCAATTTATAGCCCTCCCTCCCCGCAAAGCGGGCTCAGGGCGGCTTACAGTCAGGAATGTATTCATTCAAAAAGAGAAAATATCTCATATAGGAGTTTCTTTTCGGTGTTCCCCTGAGTTTTCCAATTTTTCTGTCAGAAAAATCATGTGAGGGGAGTGAGGCTTTGGGGGAAACCCTTTCCCCCCCTTAATGTTCTGTTTTCCCGTTTCCTCACATCTGTAGCATCCAGTGAGGATCCACTTTCTTCAAGACGCAATAATCTGTCCTTTTCCTAAAACGGTTTTCCACCTTTACCCCTCGTCTGGCAGTCACAGCCTTTGCGGAACTGTAGTCTTGGTTGAATTGAGCTTAGCAGATCCTACTAGAGCGCCTCTCATGTAGAAATTGTACATTTGTTGCGTATTCAGGAAAACACACACCTACCTTTCACAGAGAGGAGATTTTGAATTTGGCGCTTGTTGGAACTGAGAATCTGGTTATAAATACTCCTAAACACCCTTGAGAGAGACCCTCATGAGAGGGAGCCTGCTTCTTAACTAGAGATGGCTGATTAAAATGTTGCTGTTGTGCACCATATATATAGATTTCCCCCCCTTACGCTGAAAGGTGCTCACAAGTCTGCTCACCGTTAAATAACCTCTGTGTAGAACTGCCTAAAGAATGAAAGAGCTTGCTTTTAATCCATCTTGTTTGTTCGTTTCCCTGACCTGGACAACCCAGGCTCTAGCCCGATCTCGTCAGGTCTCAGAAGCTAAGCAGAATTGGCCCTGGCTAGTACTTGGATGGGCGACCTCCAAGGAATACCAGGCCTATGGTCCAGAGGCAAGCAATGGCAAACCACCTCTGAAACATATCTTGTCTTAAAAAAACACTAGCTCGCCACCTAGTGGTGCGTAATGCTGAAAGAGCTAGAACTTTTGGCTGCCAGGCAATCTTAGGATCTCCTGGCTATACACACTGCCACACGATAATTAATTAATTAATTCTTTGTTCGTAAAGCAAAGGCTAGAGGTGACGAGTGTGGGATGCGGCTGTTGCCAGGCCGACTTCCACGTCCCGCTGCTTGAGTGTTGCTTCGTTAGAGAGGGTGAGAAAGCTGCGCCTATAATAGCTTAGGAGAGTTGATTTACTGCATCTTCTAAAGCGCTTGGGCATGGTCGGGAGGACATTCATCCTTGCACCACCCTCTTTGCGGTCACGCATCTCACCTGTCAGGTGGGCCACGGTGCAGAGCCCTCATTTGAACACTGTGCAGTTTTGGTCACCGTATCTCAAAAAGGACATCGCCGAGCTAGAAGAAGTACAGAAGACGGCCGCTGAGATGATTAGGGGGATTGGGGCAGTTTTCCTGTGAGAAAAGGCTGAAGAGTCCGGGACTTTTCAGTTTAGAAGAGAGATGAACTGTCTGTGTTCAGTTTTGAGCGCCACAATTTAAGAAGGATATAGACATGCCGGAACGTGTCCAGAGGAGGGCAACGAAGATGGTGAGGGGGTCGGAGACCAAGTCCTGTGAGGAAAGGTTGAAGGAGCTGAGTACGTTTAGCCTGGACAGGAGACGACTGAGAGGTGATATGAAAACCATCTTCAAGTACTTGAAGGGCTGTCTTCTAGAGGATGGTGCGGAGTTCTTTTCTGTTGCCCCAGAAGGTCGGACCAGAACCAGCGAGTTGAAATTAAATCAGAAGAGTTTTCGGCTAAACATGAGGAAAAACTTCCTGACAGAGCAATTCCTCAGTGAAACAGGCTTCCTCGGGCGGTGGTGGGCTCTCCTTCTTCGGAGGTTTTCAAACAGATGTCCATCTGACAGCAGTGCTGATTCTGTGAACATGGGCAGATCATGAGAAGGGAGGGCAGGAAGGGTTGCCTCGGTGCTTAATTCTCGTGGCCCTTTCTTACGCTTCTCCACTTCGGGGTCAGGAAGCAAATTTCCTCCAGGCCAGTTTGGCTGGAGATCCTGGAGGTTTTTTGTCATCTTCTGGGCATGGAACAGGGGTCACTGGGTGTGTGTGTGTGTGTGGAGAAGTATTTGTGAATTTCCTGCATTGTGCACGGGGTCAGACTAGATGACCCTGGTGATCCCTTCCAACTCTATGTTTCTGTGACTGGGGGAAGGGGGGACATGATAGAGGTTTATAAAATCATGTCTGGGCTGGAGAGGATTGACAAAGGGAACTGCTTGTCCCTCTCCCAAAACACTAGAATGGGAGGGCATCTCATGAAGCCGATAGTCAGTGGATTGGGGACAGACAATTGAAATATTTCTTTCTATGAGTGATTAAAATGTGGAGTTTGCTGCCAGAGGTTGTAGCACTGGCCACAGGTATAGATGGCTTTAAAAGGGGGATTAGACACCTTTATTGAGGAAAGCTCCATCAGTGACTGTAAGCTGAGTGACTAAAAAGACCCTCCACGTTTTGGCGTGCATTTGCCCTCTTAAGGCTGCCTGATCTCAGTGCCATTTTGATGATAGAAGACTAGCCTGGAAAGAATTTCCCTGTGGGAGGAGGTCTAACCCTCTGGAATTCACTGCCACAGGAGGTGGTGGCAGCTACAAGAGGGAATTAGATAAGCATTTGGAGCAGAGGTCCACCAGTGGCCATTAGCCACAAGGTATAGATAGGAACACCAAGTGTTGGATTGGACACCGAGTGTTGGATTGGATGGGCCATTGGCCTGATCCAACATTGGCTCCTCTTATGTTCTTACCAGTCTCATGCTCCGTGGTCTCTGCTTCCTTCAACTCTGTTTTCCTGTCTCTCCCAACTTGTTACTTCAGGTTCCTTTAGGCCACTGGCTATTTTATCCCATTACCCTGCCCTTCAGCAATCTTCCCCAGTCGTCACCCCCCCCCCCACCAGTGCCAGGATTTAGTCACGATCTTAAGATCTGTGAAGTCTTTTCAGAGCTCCTCCATTCTGATCAGCCCCTCCGTTCTTCCAGTTCTCCAGCCCTCATTCTGTACCTGCCTGTCAGACTCTTGAACAGAGTTACTCTCCACAACACTCTCTTGGCAGTGATTTGTTTATTGAGTCGTAAAGTTGATTCAAGCTAAGACTTTGCTGTGTCAGAACTAAGGTTCCAGTGCCAAGATCCAAAGTTATATATGATTCAAGCCCCCCCCCCAAGTGGCCAGTCCAATCACGTCATCCATGCAGCCTGCCTAGACTTCCCGCGCTCCTGCCCCCCCACCTGCGAGACCACCATTACCTTATCTACTCAGCAGAGCAAGCAGAGACATTAGCCAGGGTCGTTGCTCTTCTTCCCAGAGGCATCTTAGAAAGTAGTTGCTCAGCCACTACAAAAGGCACACACTGACACACACACACACCCCTTCAGGAATTACAGCAAGAGATCCCAAAACACAGACTTCCATGGCAATCGAGGTACTGAGTTTGACACTGCCCGCCTTTCATGTTCTAGTCTGTTGTCGACTCTACACACTTGCCCTGTTCCATTCCTGACATCCCAGGATGTCTTCCTGTGTCATCTAGTGCCTTGGTGTGGTTTTTACATCCCCTACTGACAATAATTTCCCTCTCCGATCTGGGCAGCAAACAGTGTTTAGTTCCCTGAGTGGTTGAACATTCCATGCCACCGCAGCAGTTCAGCCAATCACTGCTGGAGATCTCACCACCTCCAGGGCTTCGGCCGGGAGGGCGGGGTAGAAATTAGAAAAATAAATATAGTGTCAATGAGCAGGTTTGGGTGGATATGGGAAAGCCACTGCAAAGCAACTTTTAATGAAAATTCAGCTATTTTGTACAGGTCGGGACAAATGTGTAGGGTTGGATCCAAGGATTCCTTTCCACCGTGGTGGGGAAGAGAGGGAGGACTCTTTGCTTTGTAGAAGGGGATGTAGTGGAAGAAGCAAGTTAGAAGAAATGGAACTGATTCAATGGAATGGATTTCGTTGATATTAAAATTGTTTTACCTACAATACCTTGTGAATAGAAGGGTTACAAATCGAAAACGTGTAAAATTTAAGATGGCGTTTCCATTGTCTGTGGAAGCCGGGGAGAGCCTCTCCCAGTAAGCTGGAGATCTGGTTCCATTGCATTCGTAGTAACCAACGACTGGATTCTGATTCTTGAAAACGAAATGTCGAAAGGTTTTTTTTCCCTGTGTAAATGTCTGAATCTCTTGACCTTTCATTATTTTTTCCCCTTAATTTGCTCCTTCTTCAAGTCTTTCTTGTATTACTGACTCGGGTTTATCTTTTCTCCCTTTAGAGAGTTTTGAGGTGACAGTCACCAAAGAAGGTGATGAAGGGTTCTTTCTCTCCCTTTTTATGAATATTAACCCACTAACTTTGGTTATGAAAAATGGGGAATCAGCACTTAAACAGAAGATCCTGTCATGCTCTTTGACCCCATTTTATTCTCTCAGTATTCTCTCCTCCCCCCCTCAAAATATATATAAATATATATTGATTTTTTTTTAAAAAAAATGTTATGTAACCAACCCTTTGGCTAGAAATATCTGTAAATCAGACATCCATTTGAACTGTGCAGTTATTCATATTTAAGCCCGTTAAGAAGAGCTCCCCCAACACCCACCCACCCCGCTTGTATTCTCTCGGACAGTTCGTTTCGCAGGGCGAATTTTTTGCATTTTGGTAATAAGTCAGTTTACCCCCAAACAAATACAGGAGCGCAGGCCTCTGTTTGTAGCAGGAACTCCTTTGCATATTAGGCCACACACCCCTAAGGTAGCCAATCCTCCAAGAGCTTACAGAGCTCTTCTTACAGGGGCTACTGTAAGCTCTTGGAGGATTGGCTACATTAGGGGTGTGTCGCCTAATATGCAAAGACGTTCCTGGTATGTCATGTATAGAAGCAATTTGCAACTGAGCTCGCATGTCATCTTGGATATCTGTTTAATCTGAAGTTCCCTGGCCGGCCACAGCTGTGTAACGGTCCTGATCTCAGCTGCAAGAAACACCCCGTGTACTGGCATACCCCTTTGACACTCCCATGCAACACTCCCTCTAAGCTGTGGAGTCTTGTGAGCCAAAATTCTACTTTGTGAGCTACCGGCATTAAAGTTGAGAGCAAGCGATTGGGCTCCTGCATAAATTAGTTTGCCCTGGAGCCATCCTTCCTGAGCTAAGACAAAAATGTGTGAGCTGGTGGCTAAAAACCTGTGAGCTAGCTCACACTAACGCAGCTTAGAGGGAACACTGCTCCCATGTATCCCTTTGGAACCAAATGTGCAGTTGTATCTTCAAACACTGCTAGGACTAATACTAGCGGCTTGCTGGCTCCAGTTCTGAAACTGATTGCCGTGAGTGCCGAAAAAAAGAGGGCGGAAGGCATTGCGGACAGGAGAGGTGCACGAGCGGACCGTTTCCTAACCGTGGTTAGGAGACGGGGAATGTTCTACCTGCACTGGACCTGTTCTCTCCTTAGGTTATAGGCTTGTCAGGCGAAATGCCCCAAGTTGAGGCCCGGGTGGGGAGGCAAAGAGTAGGTTCCGACGGAATGCAAGAGGCACCAAGTGAGTCGGCGGCTGTTGAAATGGATGCCTGAGAAGTTGGTATTTCTACCTTTTCCATTGAGTAGTTTATTTTGATTCCCCTGACTCTGGGTCGTTTTGTTTTTCGGGTTTCGGTTTGGATGGTTTGTTGTTGTTTTTTTTTCAAAGCCAGGTACATTGCACAGGAAGACTTTGTCCGTTTTGGATCCATTGACAGAATTTTTGTTAATTACAGTGCTGAATCTTCTTATATCCCCTTTTCAAGCTTCCTTTCACCTCTTCTCGACTTTGTAACTGTGCATTCTTAACCTTCCGGCTCTGGTCGAAACCCCACCAGCTGCCTTTGCCATTTCCCAGCAGCTTGGCATAGAAGATTCTCTCGGCGGCCTTGGCTGTTTCGCTCTTCTAAGATCTCTACTTCTACCCCCCCCCCACCTCCTAGAGTTTGTCTCAAGTACTCCTGTGAAATGCCTGTCTATCTACATCTCTCTCTTTTCGTATTCCTGCATGACTGGATGCAAAGTAAACCAGTTGCTTGGAAAGCAGATGTATGCTTTTTTTTTCCTTCCTTTTTTTTGGTTTCGTTCTGTTTTTTAAAACTACCAGATCTCACCCATCTTTTAAAAAAAGCACAGTGTCTTTTGCTTTGTCCACAGACCCTCACAAAACCCTTGGCTGCAAAAAAAATAATAATGTTAAGTGATATGTGTGTGTGTTTTCTTTAAAAAGCAAGACACGGCACACAGACATGCCCGTACGCATTTTGCTGCTTGGAAAGTGCTAATCGGAGTCGCTTTGAATCTCTTAGGTGAGATTTGCGGATTTAAAATCCACGGGCAGAATGTCCCCTTTGAAGCCGTGGTGGTGGATAAGTCCACCGGCGAGGGCATGATCCAATCCAAAGAAAAACTCGACTGCGAGCTCCAGAAGGATTACACGTTTACCATCCAAGCGTATGACTGTGGGAAGGGACCAGATGGCGCCAATGCGAAAAAATCCCACAAGTAAGTACTCTCTGGGTGGGGGTGGGGGTGGGGAGTGTGGATCAAGCATTCCGGAGGCAATGTGGCTTCTCCATTTGGAATGAATGAATGAAAGCCAGATGCATGACCACGGAGGATGTCTATGGGGTGGTTTTGGTCCCAGCGGGG